CCCTTTACCTCAACCAGCTAGAAGTAAATCCCTAAGCTTAAGAAGTTTGACAGTTCATTTTTTGTTAATCTATATCTAGCCAGAGTTACTTTTTAACTATATGATTAATTTAAAGTAACTACTAAAAGCTAATTTACATAATTATTTTCTTTTAATAACCTGGTAAATTTCATGTCTACAGCACAAACAGACTAAATGGCTGACTAAATACTTTTTTGCCCCACTGTAAGCATATATCTATAATAATTAGTGGCTCTAGACAGGGTGATTAGATGATGGACTCAGTATTCAACTCGTGATCTCACTTGCAGTCCTGTCAGCATAAGCCCCATTTACTGTCATGATTGGTTCTGAATCAAACCCACATGCAGAACACTACTAGGAGACAGATGAAAAGTTTAACAGAGTTTATTAAATGTTTGCACAAAATTAGACTGCGTTCAGGAAACAGGTCCAGGGCTGGATTCTCAGGCGTCTGCAGAGATGACAGTTTGGTTAACCAGGTGGATAGGAAGCGTTGTTTAGTTTTCTGATTATTGCAGATTATACCTTGGAGAGTTTCAGGCTTTCTTCTCAGAGAGGGGGAACCGGTTGGGTCCAAAGACTGTTGGTTTGACAGAGTGCTCAGCAGGTGCAGCGTCTTACTTCTGACTGTTGGATCAGACCTTGGATTGAGGGGTTAGCTCTCCTTCCGAGAGCAGCAGGTGGATTCCAAAGTGAGATCTTCAGGTTTGGCTCTCTAGGGCAGGCAGGCAGATTCAGGTTAAGCTCTCCCAGAGCTTCACACGAGAGACAGGTTTTCCTAGGAGCGACAAGACAAAGGCTGGTTAGAATACGGTTTTCTCTAGGGGACAAAATTTAAAGACAAGGAGGCTCAGGTTCGCTAACCAAACTTAGCTAACACTGCGGCGTCGAAGAAAGGTCTGGCATCTGCTTAAGTAGAGGGTCCTCTAATGGGCTGACGAGCTCCAGGTGTGCTGGTGAGCTCCAGCCCAGAGAACCCACGGCGCACTCTGCTGGGGAAAGGTGGAACAACTCCAGATCCCAGCATTTATATTGCCCTTTTAACACCGTGCCGAGATCAGTCCAAGTGCGGTAACCGAGATAACTGTTGAATGTAAATGGCATGCAAAACTGAACAGGACCATCCATGCCAGACACAACCAAACCATGCCAAACTGGTACTAGTTTATCAGTAGGGCTCAGCACGGTTCAGTTCTGGCTCCGTACTCAGATAACAGAGCGCATGAGCAGACCATGTCATCTTCTTACAGTGGGCCGTAATTATGAAATTTTAGGCATTCATAAGAATACTAGCTTCCCTACCTTGCCATATAATTTCCAGTGATGATTCTGCTTAGTAGTGTGATGAGCCTCAATGTCTGTCATTGTTTCCTGGGTCTGTAGGTCTGGATTAGACTATCGTTTGTCGTATCCACTTCCCTAAACCTAATGTGTCAAGTAAATTCACCAAAGGCTGCCTTCTTCGCCTGACTCTCCAAAAAAACGAAATATCACAATTATAACCAAATGTCCTGAATGTTACAGGCGCTGCCATGTTGATTTGCTTGTTTACCTCTAGAGAGGATAGTACCGTAGATCGTCACAAGGAGGCAAGGAGCCATGCTAGCATGGTGTGTAAATGGTTGTAAGGAACCAAGCTCAGAGTGGGTAACTGATCCAACCTCGATCCGAATTCGGCACAGATAGGTTTCCTGAGGGTAGTGTAAACGTATTGAATCTCAAACCAAAGAAAAATGTGTGTTTTGTATATGTACTGTACATAAATGGTTACACTCTGTTAAATTTGGTTGATATAAAAACCCAGTCAAAGTACAATATATATATCTTCTTTCTACAACAAAAAAGAAAATATATTATTCAAGATTATTAATATTACGACTATGGTTACAAAAGCTCCCACTCCACATCCTGGCGGAGTGAGCAGCCCACACCGGCCTGCCCTGAAGACCTGGTGCTATGCAACTATGACACAAATTTAAAAGAAGGCTAATTCTTGACAAACTGACTACACAGATTAAGTATGGAGGTGTACTTTTTCACTTAAAAACTTTTTGAAAAGTATCTAGGTGCAAGAGGTACATATGAAAAACAGCATTGGTACACTCATCTTCACCTGTTACTACCAGATAGAGGCTGAAATAGTTTACATTACAGTTTTCAGTCAGTCCAGACACAAATTCAGCTTGTCAGCATCAGGTAAGACTTAAACATTAATGTTTATGCTTTCTCTCCATCCAGTCTGATGGAGCCCAAGCTACAGTATCCTTCAAAAAGGACAAAAGAACATGTATCATGCTCACCTTCATCTACATTGGAACATCTGTCCTTTAAATTTTAAATTAAAAACATTGATGTTTTGGTTATTGTGTGACAAAATGTGAAGAACTTCCAAGAGTTGAGCCATCTATTATTTATTAACCTTGTGTTATAGGTCCTCTGGGGCTTTTCTTCTCCAGGGGGCTTTTCTTTTCCTGAAGGGGCTGTTTAAATGGTGTGCATGATGCCTCCAGAGGCCAGGAAAAGGGAAGTGTTCCCTTATAGTCTGTATCGCTTCCCTATTCCTGACACATCTAATAGGCCATATGTATGTTTCCCCTCGGATGCAGGCTGAATAGGATAAGGTGGAGTCTCCTCAGTGACATTTCAGAACCTGACATATACCCTTTGGATTATTTTTCTACTTGAATAGTAGAAGTAACAACAAATAAGAAGCTTAACCATGCCGTTAATGCTAGAAAGAGGAATTGGTACTCAGTTTGGTTCGAGCAGCAAAACCAGACAGTTTCTCCTGTTTACCTAAAAGGCTCTCTCTGAGTCAGCCTCATGAAACAAGACTACACCTGTCTGATTCAGGGGCTAAATTTGTAGCACACATGAACACTGTAAATAAGTAGTGTACATTTTTGTGGAACTGGGTGGTTTCACGGCATCCTATTTTAGTGGAGATATAAAGGTACACCTGCTGTTTGAAGCTATTGCTCCTTTTTTACCTGAACTTTAAAATCATTTACTTAAAGGTATTGTGGAATATTTTTGCAAATGTTTTAATAGACCCTCCCCACTCAAAAAAAAAAAATAATATGCGTGCAAGAGCATGCACAAGCCCATGTCTCCTCTTGCACTCTGTTTAAAAGTTGTTGTTCTCATAGCGCATACAAGCTTTCTGTGTCCTAACGTCCTTCTTAACCCCTAAATCCCTCAATCACTGTATAGAGCGGGGACTATATAGTGGACTTTATAGCAAAGTGAGTTAACTGACCGTTTAGACAGATGATCACTGCAATTTGCTCCTTGTTGGTCAGATAACTCATCCTCCACTGCTCACTACCTGTGCCATCTCTGTGACAGCAATCCCATAATGCTTTGCGAGGAGAGCTCTCAGCGTAAAGCACTCTGGGATATATCTGTCTCTTCTGAGGCTTTTCTTTTCTCCTCATCAGAAAAAGATAGCTAACGGGACAAGCATAGGACGGCCTCGCGTAAACATTTTACCAGAATGATTGACAATTAGGAGGACCACTTATTTAGATGATCCACCCGGAAATAAAACATTGTCCTCTATACCTTTAAGAGTCACAATCCTGCATCAAATGTATCTTGGAGTATTCCTACAGTATGACTAAAAGTTTATTCTTTGCCTAATGCAGGATTATTTAAAAATAATGAAGGCTTATTGTTTAAAATCAAAGCAACATAATTCAATTCAATTCAATTCAGTTTATTTATATAGCGCCAAATTCACAACACATGTCATCTCAAGGCACTTTACAGTTCAACCAGATCATACAGTCAAATTGATCAGATTGATCAAGTTTTCTATCTAAGGAAAACCAGTTGATTGCATTGACTCATTGACTCAAATACCATCCCTCACACTAAGCATGCTTGTAGCGACAGTGGAGAGGAAAAACTCCATTTTAACAGGAAGAAACCTCCAGCAGAACCAGGCTCAGTGTGAGCGGCCATCTGCTGAGGCCGACTGGGGTTCAAGGAGACAGAAGCAGAGATACAAAAAGCAGCTGTAAAAGGCGGCCCGTCCAGGAAACACACAGCCAGGCAGACGAGCTCCAAGGCAGCTCCCATGCCAGAGGACGAAGAGAGCACATCCACTCAGTCACGGTCAGAGAAACAGGACCACACTGGAAAACAGGCCGATCTCCAACATCTATAAACAAGGGTGTTGATGGAAGCAGCACAGCTGATGTTTCTTTCCAGGATGACGTCACAGCCAAACAGGAACAAGCAGAGGTTTAATTACAGCAACCTTAAAAGCTTTAGGTACATATCCCTGCAACAGAGATAGATTAATCACATCTAAAATGGAGGAGGAGATCAAAGGGAATACCTCCTTAAATAACCTGGTTGGAACTGGATCTAACATACAAGTTGAAGGCTTAGATGAAGACAATAATTTTGCTAATTCAGAAAGTTCAACTGGATCAAAGCAGTCTAAACCCGGTTCAGATTCCATGACTACCTCAGGTACAATCGCGGATAGAGGAGTGCTTATGATCTTATTTTTAATAAGATCAATCTTATATATAAAGAATCCCATAAAATCACTGCTGCTAAGAGCAGGTGGAATGGACGGTTCAACAGAGCTATGGCTCTGGGTGAGTTTGGCAACTGTATTAAAAAGAAATCTAGGATTATTCTTATTCTCCTCTATTAATGAGGAGAAGTATGCTGCTCTTGCTTTACAAAGGGTCCTCTTATACAGCAGTAAACCATTTTTCCAGACTAGGAAGGACTCCCGCAGGCCTGTGGAGCGATATTTTCTCTCCAGCCTTATGTATGAAAAGGTTAAAGGTTAAAATCATATTAATTTCAGTTCAGTCCAGGAGAAAGGAAATTCCAGCCGTCAGTAATAACAGAGCTGCGGTTTGATAGTTGAAAACAACAATTACTGACTCTCTGAAATGAGCAGTGATGAAACACAGGAAGCTGAAGGCTTCTCTAAACGTGATCTAACACAGGCAGAATGGAGACTTTCAAAGGGAGTGAAGTCCTCCCAGGCCGCCAGGAGGTGGAGACACATGATGTCACAGATGTGGGTGTATAAAACTAGTGATTACCAACTGCAGTTTGGAATATTTATGCTTCATCGGAGCAATGCAAAGGTATGCTTATGATTAAACTCATCTGCTTTTTTTCATTTGATTATCTAATATACCGACATGCTTATAGCTGCATTACTCCTGGGTTATTTTCAACCGGTTTCTATGTAATGTTGTGTCGTGCGCTTTATTTTACGCGCAGTTTTTTAAGCGCACGTTCTGTTGCTTTTTCTCTGATGAATCGCCTAAAGTCAACAACTATGTGTCATGTTTCCTCTCAGCCCACCCAAACCTCAGTTTTCCAGTTGGCTCATCGAGCAAGTGGAGACCGGCCAGTATAAGGGGCTCTGCTACGTGGAGCAAAACAAATTCAGAGTGCCGTGGAAGCACAACTCCAGGAAAGACTGTAACGATGAGGACAGCAAGATATTCCGGGTAGGTTCTGATTTCACTATCTCCACTCCAATTGTTTTAATCGCTCCGGTGTGCTAAGATAAACATGTCTGCATGCGCTTTGCTTGTTTGTGGTCCACAGGCGTGGGCAGTGGCGAGTGGAAAAATCAACGAGTTTCCAAACGACAAGGCCAGATGGAAAACTAACTTCCGCTGTGCTTTAAACAACCTCTCTCTGCGCTTCAAGATGGTTAAAGATAATTCCAAGAACCAGGAAGACCCTCATAAAATCTATGAGATTATTAACACTGACTGTAAGTTCATGACTAGATTTTTAGAATACAATAGAATAGAATAGAATAGAATAGGGTAGAATAGAATAGAGTAGTATAGAATAGAATAGAGTAGAATATAATAGAACATAGAATAGAATAGAGTAAAATAGAATACAATACAGTAGAATAGATTAGAGTAGAATAGAATAGAATAGAGTAGTGCAGAATAGAATAGAGTTGAAGAGAATAGAGTAGAATAGCGCAGAATAGAATAGAATACAGTAGAGTAGAATAGAATAGAGTACAGTAGAATAGAATAAAGTAGAATAGACTAGAGTAGAATAGAATAGAGTAGAGTAGAATAGAAAAGAGTAGAATAGAGTAGAATAGAATAAAATAGAGTAGAATAGAATAGAATGGAGTAGATTAGAATAGAGTAGAATAGAATAGAAAATCTGTTTATTGTCCCACAATGGGGAAATTGTGATGTTTACAACAGCAAAAAGATTATAGACAAAATTGTCACACAAATGTAGACGTCACAAAGATTTATGAGAATACCATAAAAGTGAAGAGTTAAAAAATAAGCAACTGAAATGCTGAATTGTAAAGTAGTTTTAACCCTATAAATACTGTGCAACCTGGAGAATAGATAACCAATATCCAGCTATGAACATTTTTACAGTAATGGATATTTGAAAATAGCAGCAACATTAGAGATGTGCAAAATGACAGCTGCATGTTATTTAACTGACTAAACTGCAAAATCTGCATGAATTTAACAACTTATTGAGATTGTTGGGAACACTGTTGGTTAGATTACGACCTAGTTTTAGTCATTGTAAATGAAAAAAAAAATCTGAAATGTGATTAATTTTATGTTTTCCAAAGAAAAAGAACAAGAAAAAAAAAAAACAAAAAGCATCTATCTTTTAGAAAACAGGATAATAATCTTCTTTCTTTAACTGCAGGTAACTATGACGATTTGCCAATGCAGGACATCCAGGAGGAGACTGACTTAACTCCAGACATCTTCAGCCAAACCATTGATCTCCCACCAGGAGATGAGGTGCAGCAAAACTCTTAGTGGACTTTTAAACTGCTAACAAATTAAATATTCACAGACTGCTACATACGTAAATGGCAACACATTTTTTCCCCAGCAGAATCTACTGCAGCATTTAATGGCTTTAGATCTTGGCAACCAACCAGCAGGTAAAACCTGTTTGAAAAATCAGTTATTGCATTTTTTAACGATGAGTATGATGATGATGATAAACTAAATGATTCACCGTTTCACACTAAACAGACGATCAGCTGCAGGAGAGTAATGCTCAGCACGATAATCCCGTCTTCAGTAATTGTCCTACTGTAACTGAGAACACCCCACAATATATACCTGATGATCAGTTGCTCTACCATCACCAGGGTATGTTGATAAAAAAAATACAAATGTCTGATTGCAAAAGAAATTTTTTATTTTTAACATACGGTAAAAATATTTTCCCCCATTAGTAAATCCTGCTCCAGTGCTTTGTTCACCTCAGCAGCCCAGTCTGTTTGACCTGGAGATCTCCATCCACTATAGAAGGAGGGAAATGCTGAAGACGACGGTGCACGCCAACCGTCTTCAGCTCCACTATCACAGCGAGGAGCCCCAATTCAACGCCTATGCTATTTGCTTTCCTTCCACTGAGGGTCTGCTGGACCACAAACAGGTATAACTTTACATCCACAAGACGTTTGATTAGCTCTGATGTAGTACCCACGCCTAAACACTCTCATTTCAACAAGTAAACAAGTTTAAACTTATGGAAGGTAAAGAGTGCCACAACACAACAAAAAAATAGTTTTTATTAATTTTTTTATTTAAATGCAGGTTAGCTGACAGCTTTGGCTGAGCGCGGGAGAAAAAATATTAGATATGGGCCTATACCCTTTATTCATTTTGATCGATCAATCTTTGAATGAGGTCATGCCTAAAAATTTACATTTTTAAGTTACCTTTTCTGAAATAGTTAATGAAAAATATTTATTTATTGAAGATGAAAAAAATATGTATTTCATGCATTCATCACAAAAAAACATAAGATTCATTTACAACATTTAATAACCTATACGAAGGGTGACGAGTGCCAAATTACAATGAATAAATACCTTATTGAAATAATTTTTTATTTATTTTTTTTCATTTATGAAAACTGGAAATAAAAACAGAATGTATGTAATACATATTGAATTAATTATAAGGACCTCAGTGAAATATATTGATTTAACTTAATTAATATATTTATTTAATGATTTCATAAATTACCTCGTGTTCCTGCACTGAAGTACAGCATTAATTTATTTAAACCCTCACGCCCCCATTAAAGTCAAGGAGGCAGAACCAGGGCTGCTTCCATAAAAATGCTAACATCTGATTGGCTGATTCTCACTGAGCAAGATAAGACAATTTCTTCTAGGCGTTCTAGTACTCTAAGCTCTATATAACCACCGGAAAAGGCAGAAATAACATAAAAATGTGCTGCAATTTATTTACAGTACCTTGGATGGGCAACTCCAGCCTCTATATCCCCAGTTGGGTCTGAAATATCTGTGTGGTATAGCATGGCGGGAGCTGTCAGACTTAAAAAATAAAATTAGCCCCGCCCACTCATGTTAGACCAAACTACGGACATATTGGCATTAAAGAGCTCCTTTATAAGCATGAATGTTTTTTTTCTCAATTTGTTAGACCAATTATCAAAAAGTTGTAAGAGTTAAAATAAATCCAGACCTAAACTTTACAAGCTTATCTGAAAGGAAAAAAAAGATACCACTACTAAGATAACTGTTTGAAACAAAAATCCATGCTTTTAATGTTACTGAGTTGGTTAATTTTATATTTTAGGATCTGTTTTTAAGTTATTTTTTTCTGCTTTTAAATCTTAAATGAATTGGCACCCATACCTCGGTGAGCTCCTACAGCTATATTACCTACTCCTCTAGATCTGCTGACCAAAAGCTGAGAATAAGCTTAGAGGTGATCACCCATATTTGTTGCTCTACAAATGTGGAGCGAGCTGCCATCACATTAGACAGAGCTCATCCCTCTGCGACTTTAAAAACATTTTCAAAACACACCTTGTTGCAAAAGTGTTTTATAAGGTTTACTTTTACTTTGTATTTTCTTTTAAGATATTAAATTGCTTTATAAATACAGAAAGTATGGTATATATATAATGCCAAAATCTCACATCCAGTTTTACATCTAAGTATTGTTTTCTATAAAAACAATTAATTTCTGTTTATTTTGCTCCTGATACATGACCTGCTTCCAAAAGTCCTATCATAGAGAGCTTTGGAAAAGCTGTGTTTAAATATATCCCAAAGATATAAAAAGAAAACACAACTGCAATAAAAAGTAATATCATGCAATACTTTAAGTGCACGGAAAACTTTATGAAACTGAAATACAAATAAGTTAAATGGCTAAAAATAAACTAAAGCCCCATTTAAATACTTATAATAAATTGAAGATTTTCTTCCCATCCCGTAAAAGCATCTGGATATATCCTTTCTGTAGTTTTATGTTGTTGTTTATTAAACAATCAGGAAAATAAGGAGAAATCAAATTCAAAAGATCTGAAGGAATCTCATAGAGCTACATTAGCTTAAACTCCTTATCGTGTGAAATAAGTAATCAACTATTAACTCCAGTTTAATAAACGGAGACTGATGGATTTTATTCAGTCGGCATTTCATTACATATTAGCAAAGAGAGAACAAGACAACACAGAGAATTTATTGCATGGTTATCAGCCCTGTTCTGATCAAGCCAGAGGTTGTCTTCCTTACAATGATGGAAAGGTCGAAGGTTGTGTCAGAGTAAAAAAAAAAACTCTAACCAAAGCAAAAAAACAAATAGAACAAAAAAGGGTAAATGTTTTGAGAACTTCCTCATATTATGGCCAAACAGTTCTTCAAAGTATAAATACCCCCGTCTCTCTTAGACATGTTGTGGCCTTGGAGCTCTGAGGCCGATTAAATAAGTCAGCACTCATAAATTTGTATATATATTCCTACATAAATGTATGTAAAAGGGAATAAATTAGAGATGGATTTCTCCCACCACACTCCTAAAAAGGCTTGTTTTGAATCCCCCCTACTTGTGTCTATATTCAAAGCTGCCTGAATATTATATTTTAATTAAAAAGTTTCTGTCCTTTCACATTAACAGGGGAAACCTGCAGCATTATTAATAATTAACCTAATGTACTTATTCTTCTGTGCTCCAGATTGATTACACAAACCGCATACTGAACAGCATCCAGCGTGGCCTGTTCCTGGAAATACAGGAGACAGGGATCTACGCCAGGAGGCAGGACAAGTGCCACGTGTTTGCTAGCACCAGCGACCCCAGCATAGCTCATCCTAACCCCCAGAAGCTGCCCCAAAACACTGTGGTGGAGCTCCTCAGTTTTGACAAATATATTAATGGTGGGTTTTGAAATTTCCATCTTCGTTAAAATTTTACATTTTATAGGATTTTATGAAAGCTGCATTTTTTTTAATGATAATAACCAACCCTTCAATCTGTGCCTGCTTTAGAGCTTAAACAGTTTAAGGAGAACAATGGCCGCTCTCCTGAATACACCATCAACATGTGCTTTGGAGAGAGGTTTCCAGATGGAAAACCGCTGGAAAAGAAGCTCATTGTTGTAAAAGTAAGACTTTATTATTTTGTTTACTCCTATTCATCGTCTACACTAGTCGGTAAAGCAAATTTTTAAAATGTTCTCTCCTTTTCTCCTACAGGTGGTGCCTTTAATTTGTCGATATTTTCATGACATGGCCCAGATGGAGGGGGCTTCATCTCTCCACTGCTCCAACATCAGCCTCCAGATTTCACACAACAGCCTCTTTGATCTCATCAGCTCGGTGTTTTCTCTGCCCGGAGCCGAGGAGCCGCTCTCCACTGCTGTGCCTTTCATAGATCAGATTTTTAAAACTTGATTTCTCGTTGATCTTTAGTGGAAGTGATGTAAAATACTAGCTATTTTGATGCACTCAGGTTAATGGGTTAAAATAACTGGCTACTTACAATTAAGGTGAGATTTATCATCACTTATCTAATTTTCCCTTTTTGTTTGCACTACTGAAACACTTGATACTTAAACCACTACAAAAGTACAAACAGTCTTCTTAGATGTTGAACGTTGCAAAAAGATGCAACTCTAAATTTACTGTCAGCTTCTTTTTATTTCCATTTTATATACAAAAATATTTTTTAGATAAGCTCCAATCTTCTTTTTTTTTACCTCTGCAACAAATGTTTGTCTTTTAAGAGCTGATATATAGCGAATTATACGTTAAACTATGACTCCTATGCAGCTCTATCCCACATGGCTTATAAACTATGTAAATACATTGATGGTGCAATTACTTGTCTATATGTTTTCAAACTTGTACTTATGTTTTCAAACAGTTCAATTAAATAAAAATAAAAACCTGAAGATTTTGTGGGTTTCTTCAGTACCGTAAATGAAATTTAAGTCAGAACCTAGAAAGCACAGCAGTTTAAATTACCAGTGTATTGCATGTAAGTTGGATCTACACAGAAAGTTTGAAATGGAAATATGTTAAAAACAGCCTCAATCACGAGGTTAATTATAAGGTTTGTATGTTGGAAAATAGGTGTCTCTTTAATTTCTAAAGGTGGTTAAAAAACAAAAAATGAATGTGATCTGGTAATGTGTGGTTCTGATGGTAACCCAGGTCCAGTCTGATTGGTTTGTCAGAACCTCATGGTGAGTCTCTCTTCTCCAAAGAGCTGAGTTTAGGAACTCATCCAGGTTTAAAGCCTCTATAAATATATATAGAACAAGACTTTTCTGAAGGGGCAAGAGATGACAGTTTAACCGTTCAAGATTCAGTTTTGTAAACACTTTATATGTGCATGTCTGCAATGTTCATCTATTATTGTGCAGAGTTCATGAAAGGTCGTCTAGCTTCTCCTGCTTTTGACAGGTCAAAGAGCTGCTGCTGGAAACATGACCGTGGCTCAAGCTGACAGATCGAGGCGGAGCACCTCAGCAGAAGCCAACCAACACTAGCGTGTCATGTTCTACTTTTACTTGTTCTTTTTTAAGTCTTCGTATTAGTGTTTATCTGCTTAGCTGATTGTTAGAGGATAAACCTAAGGCAATAATTCTTGATTCTAGTGATTAGATGTATTAAATAACTATATTTATACTAATTGATATATGAATGCTATTTTATAAAGAGAAAAAACTTTTCACTTTAGAAATATAGGTAATTTGTTAATATATAAATCAGACTAAGAGATTAGCTAATTCAAACAACTGTCTTTAGTTTAATCAGACATGAAACCTTTTCTATTTCCTGAATAAAACATTTGCAAATATTACAAAATTTTAAACTAGTATGTATTACTGTAAATATGTGAGGGTATATAAAAAGAGAAATACTATTCTATTTGTAATCACATTTATAGCAATTAAACTTTTATATCACAACTGATAAGATTTACACTTAAAGTTTATTCTGCAAATAAAAAACCTGTTTGCAGGAAAATGTTTCCCTTTATTAATGTATGTAAAGTTTAGCTGTTCTTATAAACACTAGCAATCCACACAACACCAGATTCATATAGGATACCCTACTCTTATTACCAAAAATTATGAGCAAAGGAGGGACTGAGACAAGCCTTAATCCTTTTGAGGTTGTACTGCTTCAAATCTCACAGTTTACCAACAGTATTAAAATGATGCATATGCCGGTTATGGAAGTAGACCTCAAATAACAAAAATGTCACAATTTTAAAGGGTTTTATTTGTGTCCCATTTGAAAAAACTCCAAGCCTGTTTCATCAAGTTAACTGAACAAAAATCAGAAACATCCAGATGAGTATGAGCACCTTTTTTTCCTCTCCTTTTTTAGCATCTCCCATTTCAAGTCTCTGGCTTCATAAAGCCGATATGCACAGGGTATAAATACAAGGTTCCACAACCCTGCTAGCAAATCTTTAAAGTGAGCAACTTATATACACTAAATGCAACAATAACTTGTTTTGCTGTTTCCAATTTTTTGACAGGCAATACGCAGAAATAAGGACTGAGTCAGAGTTCAAGTTGAAACTTAAAAACAAAAAAAGGCTTTGCCTGCTGCTGAAGTTAAAACCGTAACAATGCGAGGAAAAGGCATGTTTACTACCGTCACAGCTCCAGTGAGAAAATATTTACAACATGTGTGCAGCCTATAAACGGATCTCATCAACAAATAAAACAATAATAAACTTAGTCAATAATTACTCGACACAGAGCGCAAAAGGCTGCAAATAGACATTAAAGGAAAAACAACATAAAAGCAGCAGGCTGGACAAAGATAAAAATGGACTAACATTCAATAATGAAGGCAGAAATAAAATCAAGATCATTACTTTGGAGAATACTCTAATTTCTTATGTTTTAAAAAAACATAAGACAAGAAATTATATTTCTCATATTTGAAACTAACGATAACAAAAACCAAACATTAAAAGCATACAAAAAAAAAAGTATCTATCTTGACTTTCTCTCTGTTCAACTAGATTTAGTGGATCCAATTTATATATGGAAGACAACACAGGCTAATAATTACAAAACTTATACACCCTCTATAAAAAATAAAACAAAGACACCAATTACTCACAACAGGTGACAAACAACTCTTGGATGCTTATATCAAACCTGAACTATTTACAGCTGAATCAATATTTTTTTTTATCACCACTGGTAAAATTTTCTACAAAATTGCATAAACAGTATCTTTCCGTTAGGTGACATTCATGAATATGCATTCGCTGCATAGTTTCACCACTTGAGCAACACACGTTTAGTTTAGCTGCTCATAAACAACTCTGTATAGACAAAATAAATAACAGGCAGCAAATAGCCAGTATCTCACAGGGATATGGCAGATGAAGAAGACCATTTGATTCATCTTTCCACTTGATGGACACATGAAAAGAATCCCTTTCTACTCAAAAACAACCAAGGAAAAAAGACACAAATGGTTGGTATTCAAGTCCTTTTGAAGAGATTTTATGGTCAACCTCATGCTAGCAGCAAACATTTCGGAAACAGTTTCATATGAGAACTGAGTTCTTGTTATAGTTTAATGTTGCTTGAGATACAGATGAGGCTGGGGATGTGGCTGTCAGTGTTCTCGGTTCCTCATGGGCTGTCACAGATTTTCATTGGCTCACTCTGATCTTCAGGAATCTTTGTTGAATCCTCTCCTTTTTTATGTTTCCTTGCGTGTTTGTATTTTTCCACATATGCCTTGATCAGATTTCCCACTTTCACTGGGTTGATTTCCCCACTCTTGCTGTGGCAAACCTTGTGAACAAAAGACATTTACTTAAAAAAAAAAAAAAGTCATTTACATAAAAAAAAAAAAAAAAAAGAGCTTTGGCGTTTGATTTGCTCACCTTCTGAACAGCTTTACGGAGAATCTCTTTGTATTCATCCTTGTTGATGTCCCTCCTTTGGTAGAAAGGCTTGATGGCCAACTTCACTTCTTCAACGGCCCTTTCCTGCATGTGCAGCTTTTTCAAATACTGTGGGGGGAATAAATAATTCCTTTTAAAGATATAATGTAATCATTTAATCTTAAGAAGTTTTCACAGATTTTATTCCCAAATATTTTGCACATTTTATTATATAGGCTTATCTTGCAGTTGGAGGGCAAACAAGCAGACAGAGAAGCCTTCCCACAACATGGCACTGACTTTCACTGGCTTCTGTTTTCTTTACAGAGCAGCTAATATCAGTTCCTTAAACAGCTGACCACAATCTGGCAAGGAAATCAGTCAAATTAGTTGGTTGGGAGAATAGACAAAATTCTGATTTCTTAAAAGGGGGGAGGCAAGTATTTTTTAATATAACTCATATATAACTTCAGTATTCTGTGTGTATTTCCTCCACTTTCTCCACACGGTGACCATCCAATCAGAGACCTGATTCAGTGGCGCATCAGATATCTGTAAAGGGAGCTTCTCAGGAGTGACAGTGGTGACAGGTAATCACACAAGAAAAGAAGGAGGGCCAATCAGGAGCTTGTCGGCAGTCTAAACTCAGGGAAGCGAGCTTCGGCTGGATGTTCAGCCTGAGCTGCGGTTCTCCGCATGGTCCTAGTGCTCGATGAGTGTCAGTGCACTGCAGTGCAACATTGTTTTTGGACAGTAAAAAGTGCAGGGGACCAAAACTGACTTTTGAAAAAGTGCAGGGGACATGTCCCCCGTGTCCCCCCCTCCAAATTACAACCGCGGCTGGGAGTAAAGCTGTATTTGAGCCTGGCTGTTTAATTTGTCTGAATGAGTGAATGGTTGTATATCTTGTTTGTCTCTGTGTTGCCCTGCGATGGACTGGTGACCTGTCCAGGGTGTACCCCGCCTCTCGCCCATAGACAGCTGGAGATAGGCACCAGCATTTGCGACCCAAATTGGGACAAGCGTGTCAGATAATGGATGGATGGATGTTTAATTTGTCCATACAGAGTTCCTTTCATAAATATAGGGAGTAGCTAATCATGTAGTCTGACTCTCCCTCAGGGTGTCATCAGAAAACTTAAAAAATATTCCATCATTTTAGCTTGTCACTTTATAAACCTATATTATTCAACCTTAAATTGTATTTTTTATTTTAGGGGAGTGGCGGCCTGGTGGTTAGGGCATAGAGCTTGGAATCCTGAGGTTCTGAGTTTGAGCCCCATTCCCACAGATAGCCACTCTGGGTCTCTGAGCAAGATTCTTAACCCCCAATTGCTCCCCAGGTGACTCATGATAGCAGCCAACTGCTCCCCAAGGGGATGGGTTAAATGCAGAGCTAAATTGTTCCAATGTGAGATCAATTAAGCTCAATTATATCATTATTATTATCATTATGTTTAACTAACATCATAACACACAACTAAAACCCCTCATGCTATAACAGACTTTTTGTAAGATAATGGCTGCGTCCGAACGTCCGTCCTAACCCCTCAATCATTGTATAGAGCAAGGACTATATAGTGGATTTTATAAGGTAGTATCCATTCTAAAAGTGTGCACACACCAAACACCTGAAAATGGAGTACGCTAACAAACAATCCTTATTAAAAAAAAAAAAAAAAAAAAACACAAAGCCAAGTTGTTATCCTTTAGCTGTACCTCAGAGCTTCAAAGGCTCCACCTTATGTCCGGGCCTCTTCACACCCACATTCAACCATAAATGGTCCAAGCTAAGAACTGCAAGAACGTCACTTCGCATTAAAACGAGCCACCTGATAGTTGTTTATCGATGCAACCACAGCAAAGGGAGCAAAAAATAAGCACAGTTTAACCAATTCAGAAAAGCATGGGTTTGTTAGTGAAGTGGAGAGTCAGATAAATATATTTGTTAGCCACAGTAATTTCAAAAATAAAGTCCAATAATGGCATCTTCAGAGTCTGATGTATGAACTGATCATATTA